GTGTGTGTGTGTGTGTGTGTGTGTGTGTGTGTGTGTGTGTGTGTGTGTGTGTGTGTGTGTGTGTGTGTGTGTGTGTGTGTGTGGTGTGTGTGTCGCGATATAATATCCATTGATTTTTGTGTTGCTCCAGGCATGGGTGCCGAGGCTGACTTGCGAGGACGTAGGGGTGGGTGTTAATTTCCGTTTAGGGAGCGTTAGAGGGTGCCAGACTGGTGAGATGCTGCGGCGCAGCCGTTAAGATAAGATAACCACTTAGCCATCGGGATTCTACGCGAGTCTCACTACTCTGCCCTCTTTTGCACTGTCTCATCGACGTGTACATATACACATATACGCCTAGTGTTACATCCCCCGCCGCTTTTATCTTTCTCGATCGCTCGCGTTTCTAGTACGAGGACTCGCTTCCCGCCATCGGTTTTAACCATCTAACATCTCTTTCTCCATTAGGGCTATCTGAAGTCCTGTCGCAACTTTCCGCGCCCTTATGGTCGAGCATTCAAAACGATGTCGACAGCGATCCTCGTTCCCACCGATCGGATGCCGAAACGGCGTCGCGACGCCGCGATGGCGGCTTGGAAGTATTATTATTGCCCGAGAGATAGTAATCCAGTTTAACGGAAACGGCTTTGCTTATCGTCGTGCAAATAGTCCACGAATCGGATATAGCAACGCAATTCTTGACGCTAGAAAGGATCAAAGTTCGCAGCTGCTAATGAGACAATCGATTTAGATCGATGTTTGATTACACCAACCTGCGTCCTGAACGCATGATTGAATACCGTTGCACGACTTTTAATATTATTATTATCAAGATGATTAAAAGTTTATTTTCGTATCACCGGTCTAGCGTGAGATCTTGTTTGTACGTCATATGTACCTGACAGAGAAGAAGAGAGACGCGATGAGCAACTATTAAGAATTTATTAATACGCGAAGTTACGAGAGCCATCGCGTTAACAAGCCGGCGATAACTGGAACAACCTGAAATAACTCGCTTATTTTTAACGATAGAAAATAACGTTTTAAAAATAAAACAACTCGGCATCTAACAACTTATTCATTGCTTTTTTTTTCATATTATCCAGTTTAAACAAGACCGAGAAAATAAGTTTTACAGACTTTGTGACTGTGATATTTTAAAAAATATGAACTACGTATTTAACAGCGATGATTCAAAAATAATAAACATTTTCTTTCGATCGTTTAATACATTAACAAAATTTTCACTCATGAGGGAAAAGCTAAATTATTTGGAGAGGTGGACTTTTACTGACCTTGTGATTTTAGGAGCCTTTCGTTGTCGATACAATCATGAGACGCGAAATAATATAGCTTTTTCCCTTCACGTGTGATATATCAATCGATCGTACAAAAGGACCCTACGGATTCATGCATTCGTGATTCCTTTCGCAAATCCGAACACGTTCGATTGGCCATGGAATGGTTTTATCAACGTATCAGTCGTCCGGCATTGTCTGACGTCAAAGAGGGGAAGCTTTGATATCTTTTCTTTATAAGTTTGGTATTCTGAACACAGAATATCGCCTGGTGAAATAAATTATCGGCGCTAGAGGTGCAGAGAGAGCTTACATGCACACGTTCCGCGGGATTTATCGAAGTGGCGTATTTGTTCAGAGATATTGCGTGTTTGCCCGCATACTAATCGCATATCGAATTCAACCGCGATTACGAGATCGGCAAACGATAGCACCGAATAATCTCTTAACGAGGGCTGAATTAAAGGTGCGTTTAAATTGAGTGGATTATTGATAATTTACGTGAACCGATTCCCGTCAATTTGACCCTTCATACAGGAATGACACGAGGCTGTGAGATCTGATTTCAGATAAAGAAGAAACAAGTTCGTCTTTTCCATATCATCGTAAATATGATAAAACGCAATCACGCGTTTCAAATGCAAAATTTTATGCACTTTTTTATGTAGAAAAAAATGTGGAAACAACAAAATGTTGGAAACTGAAATTTTCTGACGCGTGTAATGCGTTTTATATATTTATATTTATACGCAAAACGATTTGCTCATTATTTGCATTACTATTTCTACCTCCGTTTACGCACGTTACTAATTCGAGAAAAATGTTAAACTTATTAATGCAGCCCGCCGGAAATACAAACGGTGATGCGAAAGGAGTGCTGGGTGTAGAGACGGAAATGAGAATCGAAATCGTGAAACAGGTTACTCGACAAAATCCGTGAAGTGCCAGCGAAAAGATTTCGAGCACAAAACGATCCTCCATTAATTAGCACCAGAGTGCTTTTTGCAATTTTCATTACCATGAGTACATCTTCGCCTTCTTTCCGCAAAAGGCTGCGCGACCCGTCCGGAGCTGTTTGCACATTTTCCAACTCTGTCCAAAAGTGTTTCTCATACGTTTCACTTGTTTCATGTTTTTTAATAATTTTTCATAGCACTGACCTGCTTTTAATTAACGCATTCTCGTCTTCTTTCTACTTTGGCATATTCTGTTGTCACAAAACGTTCTGTCCCTTGGATATTATAATTATTATATCTAAAGAGTTTTCAGCATTTTCAACTTACAGCGACACTTTTTAAACTTCCAAAGAAATTTATGACAATTCTCAAATGTTTCTGCATAAAAGCACCGTTTCTTCTTCCTTTTTTTCCTAATTCTGTTTAAACATCGTCAGTCTTTTCCAACAATTTAACAGATAATTTTTTTAACCATCGAGTCGTGACAGTGCACATACATAGATATATTTAACTCATGGCTAGGATTACAGCGCACGAAAATCAGAGAGCTTGTTAGTTTAAATTAAAATAATCTGTTTTCACTCGACTGTCTCTCGTATCGAGTCCCTTTCCGAGCTAAACTCGGTAATCGCATTACCACTTACTTTTGCACGGGGTCTCTCCTTCAGCCGTACTCTTTTCGCATGAAAATGCAGAATACGGATAAACGCGCGCGTTTACAAAGCTGCGCCTCACATTCGACGATAATAAATTTTAAATTTATTATATGAATGAAATCACGAGCGTATTTGTTATTGTTTGTCCGATACGTCCCGCGCATAACGCATATGATTCACGCACATGCCCTTAAGGCAATGTCGTAAACGGGTTTATTTATTGCAATCCACTGATATGTGGATAATTCAATATAATTTGATTTGCTAATTTGCGAAAAAAAAATAGCCTGACCTATAATACGCGGATGAGCGTTTACGTAAATTAAATAATCCCACGCAATGAAATCTGGAACAAGAATTTGCTGCATCGTAAATTCCCGGCGAGGAGGGAAAAAAGAGCGCAACACTTCGCGGAGCTTTAAGCGATATACTATCCCGGAGTTTCCCTCCAACGTATTAAAGCAGACCGATGGAGCTGCCGTGTCAAAAAAGAGCGAGTCTTCCATCATACTCGCTCTAAATGGGATCAGACAGATCGATATGGTGTCATCCACGAAACAAAGTTTAGTTTTCACAGTTCATGATGCTCGATAAATCGTCGGGGTCTTGTGTTCTGTAAATTGTCTTCCTGACCACTCCCGATAGAGGGATAGGATCAGTTTCTACGACGAAATGGATGTTCGAACGTACGAAAACTCGACGCTGATAAATAAAAATGTACCCCGTGAAAAATGGCGGATTCAAACGCGGGATCATTTGCGATCGATAACAAATGAGCCGCGGTGATTAATAAGTTGTAGTTTGCAGTCATAGAGTGATTAATTAATTAAGCGCTGGTAGACGATAATACAGTATTTAGCAAACGAGAGGCGATGAATAATTATGCCGCAATAAATTGCCGTCTATTTAATTAATGACAGTTCGTGGACAAACAGACCTCGAAAAAAAATGTCGGTGTTTTCGATATGGTTAAGCAGATATCGGATTTTCATCGGATTGAATCAGGTACACGCGAGCAAAGTGCGGACAAAAGAAAACGTTGTTCCTTCCGACCCGTATTGCTCGATAAATTGACAGCGGTTTCTACCTGGCAGACATAATCTGCCATCTTCTCTGGAGATCCAACGTGGGTCGCAGGTTGCACCCAGGGCAATAGGGTCATTTCGTGAGGAGGAGAGGAAATCGGGGGTGGCTCGCGCAACTTCAAGACGGGACAAGTAGCAGGTGGCTAATGCCGGGAACGTTGAAGCAGGAGG